CACCTGGCTTTACTGGGTCGTTTCCTCCTGGTACCCAATGGAGCCTCCGGCGGCCAGTCTACGGTCTCCGCCAGGCGCCACGCGAGTGGCACGACACACTGAGGACTACACTTGCGGCCCTTGGGTTTGCTCCTTCCACTGCTGACCCGTCACTGTTCCTGCGCACAGACACGTCGCTGCCGCCGTTCTACATCCTCGTGTACGTCGACGACTTGGTCTTTGCTACTGCTGACACTGAGGCACTCGCTCGTGTGAAGTCGGAGCTGCAGAAGAGACACACCTGCACTGACCTGGGTGAGCTGCGTAGCTACCTTGGCTTGCAGATCACCCGGGATAGAGCACGCCGCACCATTACCCTGACTCAGTCACACATGGTGCAGCAGGTCCTTCAGCGCTTCGGCTTCCAGTTCTCCTCACCACAGGCCACACCTCTGGCTACCAGCCACTCGCTCTCAGCTCCACCTTCGGACGAGTCCGTAGAGTCGAGTGGCCCGTACCCAGAGCTTGTAGGCTGCCTCATGTACCTGATGACTTGCACGCGACCTGACCTCGCGTACCCTCTTAGCATCCTTGCTCGTTACGTTGCGCCTGGGAGACACAGGCGAGAGCACTGGGAGGCTGCTAAGAGGGTGCTGCGTTACCTGTGCAGTACATCAGGCATGGGGCTGGTGCTTGGAGGACGCGACAGAGTTGTCCTCACTGGTCACTCGGACGCTTCTTGGGTGGACGACCTGGCTACGCAGCGGTCGTCGCAGGGTTACACCTTCAGCCTTGGCTCTGGTTCTGTCTCGTGGCGGTCCACCCGCTCTTCTTCTGTTCTCAGCTCTAGTTGTGAGGCTGAGATCTACGCCACGGCCATGGCTGCACAGGAGTTACGCTGGCTCACCTACCTGCTGACTGACTTGGGAGAGCGGCCTAGTTCTCCTCCAGTTCTGTACGGCGACAACAAGGCGGCCCTTGCCTTGTGTCAGGAGCACAGACTGGAGCACAGGACGAAGCACATTGCTCTTCGCTACTTTCTTGCTCGAGAGCTGCAGCAGCACGGTCAGCTTCGGCTTGTGTACGTGGACTCGAAGGCCAACACTGCTGATATCTTCACCAAGGCGCTCCCGCCTAGTGATCATCAGCGGCACTGTACTTCTTTAGGCCTTGTGTCCACATTCCCTCATTTGCTTACTGCTTGACTTTCTTTGTACTGTACTTTATATATATCTTGTTGCTTGCTTGCTAGGTTTTGATCACTGTGTTGCTTGTCTTGTACTATATCTAGTACTGCATGTGAACTGGCCTTGTGGCCTTTGCTTGTGCTCGGAGTGTGGTGACGTTGTGATCCACCCTGGGCTTGCGTTGCTTTGCTGGACTGGTCTTGTGACCCTTTGTTCTCCCCCACTTTGCCTATGGGGGTGTGTTAAATTGTAATGTGTTACATGTTGGTAGGCTGTAGTGGGGTAGCCAATATGGGGTACAACCCCAACTAGGGTTTGCTACTTGTACCCAACTGTTTTGATCAATGCACCATTCTTGCCTAGTCTTGTTGACAGAATGCAACCAGGGAAGGGACCTACCGCCATCATGGCACCCTTCTATTGTCACTAAGTTTGTATCACAGCATTGCAGCAAGTGGAACGTGCTTCTTGGATCTTTCCAAGAAGAGAGCGGTAGGTAGGAGGGATGTACCATGCATGCTTGATGTGCTTTTAGCTCCTCCGGAACGGTTACTGCTTTAAAAACTCGTGCTGACTCTCTGGAAGAACTTATTTTTGCTGCTCTAGAGCTAACGAACACCAAGGAAATGAAGTGATGTTGAATAAAAAAGCAAATCATACATGACAGCGGCAGCCTGTGTCCTTGCCAGAGGATCAAGCCCTCCCTGGTCCTTATTTCACACTAGGTGACGAAACGGCACGCAGGCCTACGCCACCCAAGTGCAGAGGAGCACAGCTCGAGAAACAAACTCCCTGTCCACCCCACTCATCCCACCGGAAAACCAAGGTAATGTATAAAAGCAACCGCCCAGCCACTCGCGCAGAGTGCGTAAAACCTCTAGAACTTGCGAAGCCACTCTCATGCAGAGACTCCTAGAGCGAGAAGAACTTGCGAAGCCACTTTCTGAGAGTGTATAGATAAACACCCATCTTCATTCTGCTAGAGCGAGAAGAACTTGCGGAGGCCGTTGGGGCGGACCATGGCGGGGTTGGTGGAGAAGAAGAGGGTGTTGGCCACCTTGAACTGGTTCACCGCCTGCGTGGGGTTGCGCGCGTCCCACCACACCGCCTTGCTCGGCGCTGCACATGGCCCCGCCGTGACTGCTGCCTTGCCGCTGCCGCTGGTCTGCGCGCACGCCACCACCACCCCCGTGCTTGTCACTGCCTCGCAGCACGGATGCGTCTGGTTCGTCAGCCCTGGGGGGGGGGAAGGGGAGCGGTGCGGTGTGGCGCGATGAGGGGAGGTTTGAGTGCATCTTTCAACGGTGTGAAGGGAAAGAATAGGCAGAAGCAGATCATAGGGTCTTACCTGAGGTGGGGACTTGGATCATGGTCTTGAAGACGGCTGATTGCTTAAAGAGCACCAGGTTCGGCATGGGCAGGTCGGGGTTGTTCCTCAGCTTGTCTGTCTTCGTCAGCAGCGCGAAATTGTGGGTAATGGTAACCTGGTTACCAGCTTCGGCGCAGTTGATTCCACTGCCCGCCGCGCGGCGCACTGCGGGAATGCAGCCAAGATTCGGCAGGTCGACAATAACAATGTTGGAGGAGCCGGTGAGGTTGTAGAGAGACTGAGTGATGTTTATAACGAGGTTGGAAACGGAAGAGGCGAGGGCGACGAGGGTTGTCATGTTGGGTTGCGTGCGGCTGAGCTCAACAGAATAGTCATTGGCGCCGACGCTCACCAGGAAAAGAGCCTCGTTCAGCTTATGCCACGCGGGAAATGGATGAAAGGTTGAGAAGTGAAAACGACAGAAGGGAGAGATGCAACGGAAAGCAGAGAGGAGTTTGACAGTGAGAAGAATCAGAAGCAGGATGGAAGATGGTGAGAACGAGGGTGGGAGAAAGAGGGCATACGAGGTCGGGGTTGTTGGTGCGCTTGGCCTCGTTGAACCACTTTTTGAACTCGTTGAACTGCTGCTGCAGCCCGCGCGTCTGTCGGCATCATCGGGACGAGAAAGAAAAGCGACGAGAAGTTGCGGCCATGATCGGGATGAGAAAGAAAAACGACCAGGAGAAGGCGGACGGTAGTTGGTGGCTGGAACTCCCTCTAAGACTAAAGTTAATAGTCACATCTAACGAGGGGGGTAGATATTCGACGAGGCCGGACTCTGCCCAAGTGGGAGACTTAGGAAAATCGTACCTTGCCGCCGTTGGTGCCGGATTTGGCGCCGGCGCCAACCATGGCAAAGTCGAGGCCAGAGAAAGGAAGCGACGCATTGCGGGGCGCGAGATCGGCGCGCGGCGAGGGAATCCCGAGGAAGTCGGCTGTTGGAAGGAACGAGAGAGGAGGGAGAGAGAGGGAGAGAGTGTGAGGAAGAGTAGCACAACGAATTTCGGCGCAGAAATTAAGTTGTATTACCGAGGTAGTCGACGGCGAGCAAGTTGCCATTGGAGAAGCATGGCCGTTTGTAGGACTACTACAGCAGAACAATCGAGAACAGCCGAGCGAAATTCCGTCGCAGATTCGTACCGAGGTAGCCTCTTTTGTGTGTTGGACTCAGAAGTTTGCATACCAAGGTAATCGACGACGAGCTTTCCGTCGGAGAAGCGGCCCGACGCGGGCTTGAAGTTGACGCCGTACGGCAGCTTGTTGGCCTTCACGGTCGCGCGCGTGAAGAAATTCGCGTTGCCCACGTCCGCCGACTCGTCGCCGAACACGTACATCTGCGAGATCTTCGCGGCCGTTGCGGCGCGAGAGACGCACGCCAAGGCCGTGGCGAGCAGGAGCAGCGCGGAAGCAGAAGCGAGTCTTGAAGCCATGTTGATGCGGTTAGCGCGAAGACAAGTGGGATAGGTTGTACTGCTCGTACAGTCACGGTGAGAGGAACGAATTCGGAGTCACGTGTGGTGAAGCGTGGAGTTGTTTCGGAGCGGAGCGAGCAAGTGATGAGAGAGTGGATGCACACGGTGGTATTTGAACTTTGATAACCCCTCTTCTCGCGTCGCGCTGGTGGGGTCGCGTGGAAGAACCTGGTCGGGTCCTTATCTCCCAATATGGCTTATGGCGGCTTGCGCTGTTCATAGAAAATGTGGGATGGTCACAAAATTGTTGTGTTCGAATGTGCGTGTGGGAAATCGTGGTGGTGTGCTAGAGAAAGAGCTGTGGCGGGAGGGAGAATCGGATTTCGTGCGGAATATATCGGGATACCGTGAAGAACGAAAGTTTCGTGTTTTTTCGTGAAACTCGGGCCAGCTCTAAGTTTTTTCGTCAGAAATGATGAACAGACTCGCGAAGAGGCTCTGGTAGAAGCAACACTTACGCCGCATGGGCAAGTGTGGGGTGGGGGCCACTGCGACTCGACATGAAATGGGATGGGATAGGAGCAATGCGCGGTTCGAAAGGATTATGCCTCCCGTACGTTTCCCTTCTGTGCTCTGACCTGTCCCGCTTACCAACCGTACATCTCCATTGTGTGCTCCTTGTGGCGCTTTTAGTTGCAGTACGGTTCTACTAGGCTTGAAAGGCATACCGATCAGTTCCCTGGCAAATGACAGTTGTGATGTGAAGCAATGCAACGTGACCTTCACCACTAACGCCTGTAACGGGTATCGAATAGAATGGTGGGTTTGCATAATACGCCGTTTCCTAAATTGAACCAGAAAACAATAAATTTGTAGCTGCTTTGTCAATCAGACATAAGCAATTCCATATACCTTTTACCTAATATCGAAATAAAACATAACATAGACAATGTTTTGGGCTCAAACTAGATGCAGGTGAAATGCGGAGGACAAGGCAGTCAATCGTGAATGCTTAGCCAAATCAAGTGTGAGATTCAAGAGACAGGTGGCACATCAGCTGTGCGTGTTGAGAGGTGTCACGGCATCCAATCTAGCATGTTCTATAGTGGGGACGAGATCGGATGAGATGCGCATTAGGTCTAGGAACTCATAGTCCCACAGCACCTCGCCATCGTATGCGTAGTACTCCTGCAGTTAACAACAGTGTGTAGGAGTGGAGAGGGGTTCAGGGAGCATTAAGAATGGTTGAGAGGTGGGTGACAAGACGCAGAGGAGGTCTAGGAACTCATATTCCCACAGGCACCTCGCCATCGCAGGCGTAGTAATCCTGCAGAGAGCAGAGAACAAGAGTATTCAAAGCATGCAGAGAACAGGAGTGGAGAGGGGTGCAGGACATGAAGAATGGTTGCGTTGAGTGGCAGATGACAAGGTGTAGAGGAGGTGGAGGAACTCATATTCCCACACGCACCTCGCCATCGCAAGCGTAGCACTCCTGCAAAGAACAGCAGAGAGAAGGGTGGAGAGGGGTGCAAGGAGCACGAAGAACGGTTGACGGGCAGACTACAAGACGTGAAGAGGAGGTGGAGGAACTCATATTCCCCCACGCACCTCGCCATCGTAGGCGTAGTACTCCTGCAGAGAGCAGAGAACAAGAGTATGCAGAGCATGCAGAGAAGAGGAGTGGAGAGGGGTGCAGAAGCATTAAGAATGGTTGAGATGAGTGGCAGATGACAAGGTGCAGAGGAGGTCTAGGAACTCATATTCCCCCACGCACCTCGCCATCGCAGGCGTAGTACTCCTGCAGGGACCAGCAGGGGGGAGGGGTGGGGTGACTCACCTTGACCACATTGACTCACCTTGACCACATTGACTCACCTTGATCACATTGACTCACCTTGACCACATTGACTCACCTTGACCACATTGACTCACCTTGACCACATTGACTCACCTTGACCACATTGACTCACCTTGACCACATTGACTCACCTTGACCACATTGACTCACCTTGACCACATTGACTTACCTTGACCACATTGACTCACCTTGACCACATTGACTCACCTTGACCACATTGACTCACCGTGACCACATTGTCTCACCTTGATCACATTGACTCACCTTGACCACATTGACTCACCTTGACCACAAACATGGGTTGCATGGAGGCACGTTCAAGGCCGGAGATGGTGAGGGAGAAGGACGCATCTGCTGCCAGCAGGTCGCTGAGTGAGAGGCCGTGCAGGGGACTCGCCTTGACGCACGTTGACTCACCTTGACCACAAACACGGGTTGCATGGAGGTGCGCTCAAGGCCGGAGATGGTGAGGGAGAAGGACACATCTGCTGCCAGCAGGTCGCTGAGTGAGAGGCCGTGCAGGGGACTGGTGTCATCCACTATGTGCCGCAGATTGAAGCAAAAGCGCGTGTAGGGCAGCTGGGAAAGGGTGGTGGGATGGTAGGAGGCATGGTAAGTGAGCAGAGCAAATATTTGACAGACAGGAGACAGGAGGTGGGGCAGAGAGAGAGGCCGTGCAGTGCAGGGGACTGGTGTCATCCGCTATTTGGGGCAGTATAGTATAGGGCAGGGGGGGAGGAAGGAGTTGGGGGGTCGCAAGTGGGTGAGACGTGGCAAGTGGGCAGAATGAGTCCAAGCAGAGGCTGGCCCAGTTTCATTATTATCGCATGACATGGCATGTTGTGGTGTGGCATGGAATGACGTGGCATGGCATGCCATGACGTGGCATGGCATGGCATGGAGCTGCAGGTCGTGCAGGAAGCAGTGGACCTCCCCGGAGGGGTTGAGAGGGTGGAGGAGCGGAGCAGGTTCAGAGAGTGAGGCAGAGGCAGGGCCGGTGGCATGGGATGGCATGACTGGTAACCCTACTCACCTCGGATTTCACGAGCTCGAGGTCGTGCAACGAGCAGTGCACGTCCCCGGAGGGGGAGGGGAGGAAGAGGCGCACAGAGAGGGCGAGTTTCACGTTCACCAGCTCGTGCGAGTTCAGCCCCACCAGGGCAAAGCGTGCCGTGAGAATCCTGTGGTTAGTGTGTTAAGGAGGGGTTGAGAAGGAGATTTAGGGTGAGCGATTTGTGAGTTGAGTGAAGGAGACACGTTCACCAGCTCATGCGAGTTCAGCCCCACCAATGCAAACCGCGCTGTGAGAATCCTGAGTGAGCGATGGTGAGGGAGGAGGGAGGAAAGTTCCAAGGATACTTATGAGTCGACTCAACAAGGCACATTTACCAGCTTGTGCGTGAGAAACCTCCGTGAGTGACGGAGAGGGAGGAGGGAGGAAGAGATGCATCAGAGTTCACAACACAACAAATCAAAGAGCCGAAACCCTCCCTCTGCCTCACCTCCTCCTCTCTGCACCCTCCCCTTCTGCTCAACTTGTCTTCTCCGTGCGACAATGCAGCATATTATTTTTGAAAATTCTCAAAATCAATTTCTACTCACCGTCTCTTCTCAGTGCCGTGGCCGGTCAAGGGCTGAGTGGCAATCGTGACGAAGCGCGAGCACCGCACCGTTTCCGCTGGGCGGCCGATACGAGCAAACACTGGTCAGAGGAGTGGATGAGGGAGGAGGGGGGGGGGGGGGGGGGGGGGGGGGGGGGGGGGGGGGGGGGGGGAAGAAGGAGGTAACATCGGGGGGCGGGCGGGGGGGAGCAGTGAGTGGCGAGAGAGTGATGAGGCGAGAGCATCGTACCGTCTCTGCTGGCCGGCCGATACGAGCACAGACTGGTGAGAGGAGGGGAGAAAACGAGCAGCGGGAGAAAGCAAGAGGGGGTGGGCAAGGGGGAGAAGAGGAATTGAAGCAAGAGCACTGCAGCAGGATAAGATGAGAGAGAAATCACAACCCATCACAGCCTAGCCCATCGCAGCCTAGCCCATCACAGCCTAGCCCATCGCAGCCTAGCCCAGGGCACATGAGCACATGAACACCCACCTGCACCGCTGAGGAAGACGAAGTTGAGGTGTGCAAGCAGCGTGAGGAGGTGGGAGGGAGTGAGGAAAGTGCAGAGACATACCCAACCTGCAAGCACCCACCTGCACCACTGAGGAAGACGAAGTTGAGCTGTGCGAGGAGGGTGAGGGCATTGGCGAGAATGAGTGCGGAGGGCGAGAGCACCTGCAGGGGCGAGCCTCCGAACGTGGTGCAGAGGGAGAGACTGGGAGGGAGGGGGAAGGGGGAAGGAGGAGAGCAGGGATGAGAAGAGGGAATGGGGAATGAAGACAGAGGAGAGGAAGGAAGGGGATTAGCAAGGAGCGAGCAGGTGCAGGGTCGGGGAGAGGGGAAAAGTCATGCACCCATGCACCCATGCACCCATGCACCCATGCACCCATGCACCCATGCACTCATGCACCCCATGCACTCATGCACCCATGCACTCATGCACCCATGCACCCATGCACTCATGCACCCATGCACTCATGCACCCATGCGCCAACACTCACGCGAAGAGGAAGAAGTGCAGAGCCACATACAGCCACTGCCCTGCACGCACGAACGCAGCACACACCCAGCACAACGCGACTGCCACCGGTCCCGCCCTGCTGGCGCGCTCCCATTGGTCGAGAGGCGGCGCAAGCGGGCCCGAGAGGATGGTGTGGATGTCGAGGGATTCGAACTCGGGGCTGTCTGGGGGGAAGGCGAAGCCGGAGGCGAGGGCGAGGAAGAGCGGCGTGAAGAGCAGCGCGAGGAGGACTGGTGCTGCCATAATCAGCAGCACGAATGCCACGTTGTTGAGCTGGTGGTGGGGGGTTGGGGGAGGAAGGGGGAGGAAGAGGGGGGGGGGGAGGGGGGAAGGTGAAGCCGGAGGCGAGGGCGAGGAAGAGCGGCGTGAAGAGCGAAGCGAGGAGGACTGGTGCTGCCATTATGAGCAGCACGAATGCCACGTTGTTGAGCTGGTGGTGGAGGGTGAGGAGGGTTAGGATTGTTGTTGAGCAGGGAAAAAGAGGCAGGATTGAGAGACAGGGGAAGGGAGGGACGGGTTGGGACGGTTCAGTTGAGACGCGATACAAAGGGAGGAAGGAAGATAGGAAGTGTCATTAATCAACCAATCAGGATTAATCATGGGTCCACGTGGCTCACCCTGAGCAGCCAGTTGTACCCGTGGCTGAGCCACGTCAGCACTGACGCCTGCTGCTTCACTGCCAGCTTGGACCGTGCCCGCCCGCAAGGGACGAAGAAAGGCGGGGAGGAGAGTGTGTGTGGTGGTGGGGAGGAGAGTGTGTGTGGTGGCGAGGAGGGAAGGTCCCGCTCCCTCTGCTCTTCATGTTGCTGCTGCTGCTGCCGCTGCTGCTCCTCCCTCTGTTGCGTCGTCCTGTCTTGCAGCAAGCAATGCTGCTGCTGCTGCTGCTGCTGCTCCTCTCCCTCCTCTGCCGCGCACCCCTTCCCCTCCTGCCTCTTCTCTCCTGCTCCACAGCTCCCAGGGGTCTCCCCACAGGCACCATCCAGGAAGCTTCCTCGGATGTACCGATGCACAATTTGTCCCATGTAGGCGCAGACGGGCGGCACGGGAAGCTCCTCAGGTACCTCTGAGGGCGGCGGCGGGCGGCGAGGAATGAAGAATCCCCTGCACGGGCTGGCGTTACTTGTCCTACTCTGAGAGTCGTTTGCATGCTGCTTCTGTGCAGGGACGGCAGCGTTTGTCTCTTTTTGGGAACCTAGAGGTGCCAAGTGGGGAAGAATCAGGTCCTGGGGGAACACGGAGAGCTGGGGGGAGTGGGGAATGGGGGGTCGGGGCATGGGGAGAAGGGGGAGGGAAGGAGGATAAGGGAAGGGGAAGGGGAAGGGGAAGGGGAAGGGGAAGGGGAAGGGGAAGGGGAAGGGGAAGGGGAACGGGGTGATGGTAAGACGAACATGTGCCGTGCGTGCGTGCCTCGCGCGCGAGATCCAAGTCGCCAAGACACTAATAGTGACTGAGATAAATGACGTGCGAGTGCGTCCAAAAGTAGTCATGACGCGCCTCTGCCATCCCTGCCGTGTGTACCTCGCGCGCAAGATCCGCGGCTGACGGCGAAGCGCGAAGCGACGGCACCGCGTCGTCGCGGTGTTCGCCCTCCCTTCCCGCGCCCATGGCTCTCCCCGCGCGCGCGCGACAGGACAGCTACGCGGACTGGAGGTATTGCCGGCGGAATGCCGCACCCGCTACAGAATGGTTCTTCCTACTTAGAGAAATTACGGCAGAAGGAAGAAAATAACCAAAAGAAAATTGAGGACTGAGGAGTCCACAACCTGCTTACCAGAAACCCATGCTTTCTCAGAACATTAAGGCGGAGTAAGGGAATATAAAAACAGATAACAGAGACTGCGGGAAGCCGTGGTATCCTGTGGAGTGGAGAAAGACTGCGGAGGGTTAGTGAACATGGAAGTAATGCGGTTCAGTCAGGTTTCCTGGGCTCGGATGCGGTGCTTAGCGACGTTCACAACCATGACGCAAGAGCAAGTTCCATGAGGTTTCGGCAAAAGCCTGGATGTCGTCATCCGCGATGACAAAGCCGGCGTGTAACTTCATGTCTTGCGAAGCGATTTTTGTTCGCAGATTCGGTCTCGTGGCGAAGTACATGGCGGCGAAATCAAACGTCTTTCAACGAAACAAAAGAATTTCATCATCCACTACCAAATCACCGCTCAACACATATGCGAAATGCAATTCCAGTGTAGCTCATTCAAGTTAAAGCAGCAGTATACATTTGGCAGCACTGTTGTTTCTGTACAGTGTGCCAGGCGATTTCGCCTCAACGAAAATGTAAACAGAATAGCGAGAGTGTTGGCGAAAAACTGGAGCACTTCCGTTGTAAGACGAGCAGGGTTGGGTAGGTTGTGGGTCACAAAATGGGAAACACCTCCCGTCACCGAACTTGCCACATCACACACTACGGGGAATACGCATCTAGTAGCTACTAGTTTAGGTACTAGGCAGCAGGCCGGAGGGTGCTAGGCCAGCAGCGCGACCACATACATAGACGCGGGTGAGTATTTAGCCGTGTGCAGAACAGGCGACGCCTGCGAGCGTCACTAGCGCCAGCGATGGTGGCACTCCGTGTGTGTCGTGTCATTCCGCGCGCGTCACTGGCGCCAGCAATGATAGCATTCCGTTAGCGGGACTTGCGCCAGTTACGCTATCATTCGCGCGCGCGCTGTGCTGGCATCCGCGCGCGGCACTTGTGCGCGCTATGCTGGCATTCCGCGCGCGCTAGCATAGCGCGCTCAGCAGAGCTGCGCTTGCCAGCAAAACGCGCGCCGCAAAGCGGCACCTGCATACCGCGCGGCGCGCCAGCACAGCGAGCGCATGTGACGCTTAGATGCCCCAGCAAACAGCACGCGGTTGCAAGCACGCGCTCTCCAGCGAAATTCAGTCTAGAAGCGCGCGCGAGCCAGCCATCCTACTGCAGCCACCAGTAACGCGCTGCTCGCCTCACGGATTTCTCCAATACACGAAATGCGAAAGGCCGCGTCCACACGTTTGGACTCATTTCCGCCCCTGCTTCCCCTCATTTCCGCCCCTGCTTCCCCTCATTTCCGCCCCTGCTTCCCCTCATTTCCGCCCCTGCTTCCCCTCATTTCCGCCCCTGCTTCCCCTCCTTTCCCCCCACGCATCCCCTCATTTCCGCCCCTGCTTCCCCTCATTTCCGCCCCTGCTTCCCCTCCTTTCCCCCCACGCATCCCCTCATTTCCGCCCCTGCTTCCCCTCATTTCCGCCCCTGCTTCCCCTCCTTTCCCCCCACGCATCCCCTCATTTCCGCCCCTGCTTCCCCTCATTTCCGCCCCTGCTTCCCCTCCTTTCCCCCCACGCATCCCCTCATTTCCGCCCCTGCTTCCCCTCATTTCCGCCCCTGCATCCCCTCATTTCCGCCCCTGCTTCCCCTCCTTTCCCCCCACGCATCCCCTCATTTCCGTCCCTGCATCCCCTCATTTCCGCCCCTGCTTCCCCTCCTTTCCCCCCACGCATCCCCTCATTTCCGCCCCTGCTTCCCCTCCTTTCCCCCCACGAATCCCCTCAATTCCCCCCTGCCTCCCCTCCTTTCCCCCCTTGCTTCCCCTCCTTTCCCCCACTTCTTCCCCTCCTTTCCCCCACTGCTTCCCCTCCTTTCCCCACTGCTTCCCCTCCTTTCCCCCACTTATTCCCCTCCTTTCCCCCACTGCTTCCCCTCCTTTCCCCCACTGCTTCCCCTCCTTTCCTCCACTTCTCTGCCTCGCCTTTCCCCCCCGTACTTCCCCTGCTTTCCCCCGCTGATTCCCCTCCTTTCCTCTCCCCTCCTTCCCCCCGTTTCCCCCACTGCTTCCTCTCCTTTCCCCCACTGCTTCCCCTCCTTTTCCCCCCTCTCTGCATCGCCTTTCCCCCCGTGCTTCCCCTCCTTTCCCCCCTCCTCCCCCCCGTTTCCACCACTGCATCCCCTCCTTTCGCTCCCTTCCCTTGCTTACCCTCCCTCCCTCCCCCTACCTACTGTTTCCACTTTCCACCTCCAGTATCGTACTACCACCCACGTTTCCCAGTAATGCCCTCTCCGCATCCCTTCTCACCCCATCCTTTCCTCTCCGCATCCCTTCTCACCCCATCCTTTCCTCTCCGCATCCCTCCTCACCCCATCCTTTCCTCTCCGCATCCCTCCACACTCCATCTATCCTCTCAGCATCCTTTCTCTCCCCATCCCTCCTTGCCACCATCCCCTCAGGTTTTGTGGCGCTGTGTCCAGGAAAGGCGACCTGCTGCGTGCACTCTTTGCTTAGTTACTAGTATGCATGGATTGCCTCTCTGCTTTTACTCGTGACCACTGCTTTGTTTACATACTGTGTTATGGTAGGGAACATGCTACAAAGAGTGTTGAAGTCAGCAACCTGTAATGATGTCACAAAGCACTACGTTCAATAACCAGTTGGTAAAAACACAAACATGAGTTTGATGGCACGATGTGTTGGGTCAGTAAGAAATACCTAAAAGGGGAAAAGAGGGTGTGTTTATGTGCTAATGTTCAAGGCGGAAGATTGAATACTTGGATCGTATAAGGACAGGCCGATTGACCGAGAGGCTTGAAGCTGCTTTGCTCGTAGCCGTTGCCATGCTCCCCTGCCATTCCCATTGCAATCGCAGCCTATCCAAGCCCAGGTTGCAGGCTGTTATGTGCCCTGTGAGGCGTAGGATGTGCAGTCAGGAAAGCACCCCACCTGCAACACAAGCACAGAAATCGAGCAAGGGAATACAATGTGAGGGCTGTAGGAGGTCAGATTCAACTAAGAAAGAAACACATAAGTGTGGGGGACCTGGAGGGGCAGGGTGTGAGCAGAGCGCCCTTGGTAGAGGAGGGGGTAAGAAGAGGTAGGAGAGGGGAGGTGAGAAGAATGCCCCTGGTAGGGGGATGGGAGGTGAGCAAAGAGTGCCTGATAGGGCCAGGAGAGGTGGTAGGGGAGGGGAGATGAGAAGGGAGTAGGTGGTAGGGGCAGGGGAGGTCAGATGGGAGTATGTCGTATGTGGTAGGGGGAGGGGAGCAACGATGTGAGTAGGTGGTATGGGGAGGCGTGGTGGGCTGAAATCCCGTGGTAAGGGGGGGAAAGGGGAGGTGAGATTGGAGTAGGTGGTAGGGGGAGGGGAGGTGAGATGGGAGTAGGTGGGGGTAGGTGGGAGATGCATGTTGAAATTTCCCATGGCAATGCCGCTGTTGCTTGGGAGGTGACGACAAGAGAATCGAAAGGGGCTTGGTTACAGGTTTAGCGGAAGGGAAGGATGGCAGTGAGGATTGCAAGAGGAGAGAATGGCTGGAGGAGTGCGTAAGGAAGGAAGGATGGGGGACAGGAAGGCAGGGAGAGAAGGGAGAGAAGGGAGGGAAGGGAGAGAAGGGAGGGAAGGGAGTGAAGGGCGAGGAAGGGAGACACGGGAGAGAAGGGAGAGAAAAGGAGGGAACGGAGAGACTTCTATCGAAGGGAGAGAAGGGAGGGAAGGTAGTCAAGGGAGGCAACGGATGAAAGGGAGTGAAAGGAGAAGCAGGAGAGATGTCGGGAGGGAGAGACGAGGAAGGGTAGGGATGAAATGGAAGGTAACGGAGATACGGTGGGGGGGAGGAGAAGGGCGGGAAGGGAGCGAAGGTATTGAAGGGAGAGAAGGGCGGGAAGGGAGGGACGGGAGGGACGGGAGGGACGGGAGGGACGGGAGAGAAGGGAGAGAAAGGAGAGACAGGAGATTGCATGGAGGGATGAGAGGGAAGGGAGAAAAGGGAGAGAAGGTAAGGGGGGAG